TCTTCATTCTTGTCGGGTTTTCCCCACTAACCCGCCTCTACTTCTGCCCCCAGCTGTGTGTTTCTCCCTGGCCGCCAGGGTAGCATCTGTCCTCTGGGAGGCCCTGCCTCCCCGACGCCTGCTCCCAATACAGGAGTCTGCAGCTGCAGTCCACAATCAGGGCTGAGCCTGACTTCTCATAGCACATCAGATGCCAGTGGTGGAATCTGTTTTCCCTCTCTCTCCTGCAGTCTCCCTGATATGAGGTGCTTTCAGTAAATTGTGCCCCCAGGCAGAATGCCCTGAAGGGAGCACCAGGCCTTCTGGGTCACTGCTAATGGTATTGTTGGGGGATGCAGGGCTGGGCGGAGTGCTGATTATTTCTGCCAGGGCCACAGCTTGCCTGCCGTCCTTAGTTTGGTCTGAGTTTCTTCTGGGACAACAATAATTTCTTCCCTGCATCCATATAGGAGAAAACAACCCTATGGGGATCTTTCCTGGGTTGGGAAAAGGGTGCAGAACATGGAGAACTTTCTTTTTCGGGTTCTCATGAAGGCTGGCAAGTACAGAGTTACAAACCCCAGCTGGCCCTGAATGTCAGGAGTGACGCCCTGGTCTAGTCACTGGAACGCCCTCTCCTCCCGGAAGCTCTCCCTGCATCCTCTTGGTCTTGCTGATGCAGGCTGCTGCAGGTGGCAAGGACACCGAGCTTGCCATCATAGGAGACTTGATAGTCTCTGATGGGACTGTCTGCTTAGCCATCTTTCTCCCTCTTCACTTGACCCTGGGGGATGAGGACTGGTTTACCTTTCCGTCCTCTGAGGCCAGCGCAGTGCCTGGTACATTGGAAACTCCAGAAACACTCATGTCACGCCTGAATCCTTGCTGCAGGTCCTAAAAGTGCAGGTCCCTCACTCGACTTCAGTGCATCGGGAATGAACCCCAGTTCACAGTGGTGGCACTCTCTTACCTGTCTGTTCAGGTGTAGCTTGCAGACAGGCAGGGTGTTCTGAGCACCATCTTCAGGACCAGAGATGAGCAGGAAGCTTTAGGGGCTGCTTTAGAAAAAGCCTCCCGGTCCCTGTGTCTGAGAACTTTGTCAAGCTCCTTAAAATTTATAAATACAATTGATACATTCTCGAATTTGTGACATTGGTGCCCTCCTGCCTTATATCACTTTAGGGGTCAGCAATATATCTGTGAATGCTGCCGAGTCTTCTTGGCTTCCCTTCCAGCCACCAGGACAAATGGAGGTTGAGGAAGGGTCACCGGAGTTGGTCAGGTCCTGGCAGGAAACGGGTGGCACGTTCAAAAGAGGTGGAAAGGGTTTGATGGCGGCCAAAGGCATGGGCAGGGTTAAGGGGACCGACGAGGGGGGAGAAGCTCCCAGGAGGAGTGGCTACAACCCCTGTGCCTGAAGGAGTGGGAGGTGGGAGGCCGTATGGAACCCAGCAAGAACGGGAAGCATAGGAGAGGGCGCCTAACAGGAGCTGGGAGCATCTGACCTCTCCTTCCTCCCGCCCTCAGGACTCCCGCTAGGGCTTCCCATTGACCAAACTCAACCAGAAGCCAGAAGCAGTAGGAGCCCAGTTAATTTGGTCTATAAAGGTCATGCCCTTGGGGCACAGAGCAAGGTGGAGAAGGGTAGTGAGTGAGTCTGCAGGAGCAGATAAGAACATCACATCCTCTGCATCCAGGCTTTGCCACCAATAAAGGCAGGTACGACATCTATGAAGTATAGAGAGGAAGGCTTCGTGAGAGGGCCGCTGGTCACGGAATCTAGTACTCAGACCCTTCCCTTTGGTGGGAGGAATGTCCAAGTAGCTGTGGCCATCTTTAAGCCACCACACTGAGAAACTTGAAAACCTGGGCTTCATAGCTTCAAAACGGAAAGTTATGGTGAGGCCATTTTTGTGATGCTTCCCTTCAAGGAGCATTCACCCCTGTCCCCTACTCTCCTCATGCCTACCCCACCCCCACCCCCACTCCTCTTCACTTCTGCACCCTCAAAATTGGGACCACCCCAAGCTCTTCCAAGAGCATATTCCCGACGCTCCGATTCTCTGCTCTCCTGGGCAGCAGGGCCCTGCTGCGGTGGCTCCAGATGAGGAATTTATTCATGGTGGCAGGTGTATTGGATGAAACTAAAGAGATTGGAAAATTATGTAAAATGTTTGAGAATGTGCGCGCCTATGCTTACATTTAATGGGCCCATTTAAAAAAGTCCCTGAACCCTGAAGGCGAGACAAAGTTTGATATCTCGGAGGCCGCGTGTTTAAATATTTGCGATTCCAAAGAGCCTGATTCAGCTTGTTTTCAGCCATTCTTGTCCCCATCCTGGTTCTGTCTCTCGTGCGTGGGCATTTTTCTATTCATTTCCTTCATGATTTAAACAGTGACAGTTGCATCCGCATTACAGTCTTTCATCCTGAGTCTTTTGGAGATGTTAGCCAGAGATAAGCGATGAAGTCTTCATTTGACAGGTGGGCAAATTAAAATATGCATAAATTAGACTGAAAAGAGGTAGCATTAGTCTCGTGAGGATCCGAACTTCCCCGCACCCCTTTTCTTCTTCCTAAAAACGGGATTCTGTCACAGCAGCCCTCTTGACTTTTGGGGCAGAATCATGCTTTGTTGTGGGGCTGCCCCGTGCATTGTAGGATGTTGAGCAGCATCCCTGGCCTCTACCCACCAGATGCCAGCAGCCCTGCCCACCCCCAGGAGTGACCACCAGAAGTGACTCCAGACATTCTCAAATATTCTGAGCAGGGCTGAGGACTGAATTATCCCGTGTTGGGAGCCACTGCCTTCCAGCAGAGTATTTTAAGGTCCTGGGCATCAGAGATGGTGAATTAATTGGTCTGAGGTGGGACTGGGGCACAGCGTACTTCTTAAAAATCTTTTGGGTGTTTCTGATGCCTCACCAGGGTTAAGAATCTCTGTTCCAGAATTTGAATCCCAGCTCTCTAAGCCTGAGTTTTACGATCTATAGTATTGAGATAGTAACACTGTTCGTGTCTCATACAGCTGTGAGGCTGAGATCTCATAATCTGTGTAAAGTGCTAAGCACTTACACTTCCATTCCAGGATGGCTGTGCTTTAGTAAAAGGGACAGTATCGAGAGGTGTGAACCCTCTATCCATCTAGCACAGTATGTGGAATGTAGTAATTTGCTCAATAAATATTAGCTCTTCTTCTCTTTCATGTCCCCTCATCTTCTTTCTTGACCCCCAGGTACAAGAGCAGTGGAGAGACCCTGTAACCCTGATCCAGGGGTGGGGGCTTGCATATTGAGTGTGAAGGCTGAACACGAAAGGGGGCTGAGAGTAGAGAGACGATGGTTCAGGGAGGCAGTGGCAAGGTGGGGCCGATAGGGCAGAATGGGACTCTCCTTGAGGATGAGGAGCACATGTAGTGTGTGTGAGGCTCTGAGAATCCTGCAGGTGTGACGAGCCCATGACTTCAGCATTTCTGAGATAATCAGGATCTAGATGAAGCTGAGGTCCAGCTTCTAGCACTGAGAGTGGGTGTCCAAGGTAGAGTGAAGGCCATTGGAATTGAAAAGGTCATAGATGTGCATTCAAGGCTGTTGGACGGTTCATTCCCGAGATGGTTAAATTTCCCTTGGTGGTATCAGCAGGTGGGGTGGTGAAGTAGGCCTGAGAACCAGAGGTCATTGTCCTGGATGCCTGTATGGGAGTGACCAGGATATCTGAACTGCATTTGGAAGTGGGTGATTGGAATATGGGGGGTCTGGAAGGCATGCCATGGAAGGAAGTGCTGTGAGTAGTTCTGAAAATGAAGAAGCATCTACCAAGAACCGTTTCTTTAATTTCAGTCTTGGGTGCTGTGGGGCACGTATTTGTTCTGCAGTACTCCCAGGACAGAACAAGGCTGGAGTGCGTGTTAGGAGGTAGGTTTCCATTCCAGGATGGCTGTGCTTTAGTAAAAGGGACAGTATCGAGAGGTGTGAACCCTCTATCCATCTAGCTGTTTTGAGAGAGGCTAGGTGACTTCCTGTATGGGATGCCTTAGAGCAGTACTTTCCAATGTTTGTCAGGTCGTGGCATACATTGAGAAAATTATATGGCACAAGGATGTAAATAGGAAAAGTTGCTGTCAGCAGAGGGTACCTGAGGGGGCCAGCCTTGCCTGGTAGCCTTGAGATCTCGCTTGAGGAGACGAGTATCATCATCACCTGGAATTCATTCATGGCACACCAAGGCACCAAGGCACCCCATTTGGGAAGCTGAGCTCTCGAGGACATTTTTGCTATGATTGGAGTGCAGTGTGCCGAGCATCATATTCCGCTCTTGGCATCATTCCCTCATGTACCCCATGACATCCTGCAGGACATGTGTCATGGCCCTTATGTTACAGTGAATTACCTGATGGTGCAACTTACCCAGGTCACCTGGGTTAAAGGATGGAGCCAGGATTCATGTCTGTCGTGCGTGCTCTTGACCGCTGAGATGAGATGACCCATCAGGTTCCCTTCAGTTCTGCCATCTTCAATCCTTTGAGTGATATCCCCGTGGGGCCCGCAGGTGTTCGTTGGTCCCTTTGCCCTGTTATCAGGTTGCCCCTAACCTGAGACATCTTGTGAGAATATTTCCCGAACTCTCTGAGCCGTAACTTCTCAGGCTGAGATCCCTGATTGTCAGTTCATCCTTTCAGGGCGTCTTTCTTTCTTCTCTCTCGTTACCAGTTGTCATTGTCTCCCAGCTTGGGGGAAGGGGACTCACTGTTTGCCTGTTTGAGCCAATCGCCATTTCTTTCGTCCCCAAAATGTAATTGAAAAGAGCCTTAATGGATTCCAAATGATGATAGCTCCATAAACCGATTAAAAAGGCCTTAATAAAACTGTCTCGAGTCATTTTCCACAGCTGCAGGCTATGCCCTTTGTTTTCTAACGATCCCAACAAGAAGGAAGGGCGGTTTTTCTTTCTCATGTGGTTGGAAGTACTGGGAAGGCCTTCTTCTGTCTGTCAACTGCTCATCCTGTTTTCTTTGCTTCCTAGACAATCCACGTTGCTATCGTGTGTGCCGGATATAATGCAAGCCGGGATGTCGTCACCTTGGTCAAGTCTGTTCTGTTTCACAGGTGAGCACGACTGTCACGCTCTGCGGGCGCGTGCATGTGACTGCCTGCCTGTGTTTCCTTGGGGAACGGTTAAATAAGAACTACATTTCTCATCAGTCATTTAAGGTGCCATGAAAATGTGATTTTTGTCTGAAACCCTGGGGAGATTATTGTGATAATAATGTTTAACAGCAGCGATTAGGTGCTGTCTGGCAATGTTAAGAATTGCAGCGCTTAGATGTAAAAGGACCTTCAAGGACACCCCAAATTTGATGCTTCGGTTTTCTTCATTGGTTTCCCTTGCCTGGCAGTCACCAGACCCCTGTTTACACAATCCTGTTGACAGGTTGTGTTACGGACTGAATTGTGTCCCCCAAAAATATATCTGTTGGAGTTCTAACCCGCAGGACCTCAGGATGTGACTGCGTTTCGAAAATGGGCCTTTAAAGAGGTAATTCAATTAAAATGAAGTCATGTGGGTTGGCCCTAATCCAGTGTGACTGGTGTCCTTATAAGAAGAGGAGATTAGGACACAGACTCACATGGAGAAAAGACCATGTGAGGACACAGGGAGAAGGTGGCAAACCAAGATGAGAGGCCTCAGGAGAAACGAGTCCTGCGGACACCTTGATTTGGACTTCTAGAACTGTGGGAAAATAAATTATTATTGTTTAAGCCACCCAGTCTTAAGCCACCCATGGTATTTTGTTGTGGCAGTCCTAGCAAACTAATACAATTTGTTTATTTTAATGTAGCCTGTCCAACCTCTAGGCATTTCTGACCATTAGAAAGTCCTGCCTTATATTATACTGAAATTTTCCAACCTATCGATGATACCCGTTGGCCTAGTGGATTCCCGTGGAACCAGTCGTACAGAGGGTAGATTTCTCCTCCATCCGGAAGTGATACTGTCTCTCCTGAGTCATCTCTTCTCCAAGTTCAACTCCTACCGTTTGCTTCTCCTTTTTCACAGGACTTTTCTTCTGTTTCTTCGCTGTTTTGATTGATTGATGTCTAGATGTACTCGAGGTATATCCAGAATTGAGTCTTCAGTTCCAGCTAGTACCCTTGGCTCTGTTCTAAATTCTCACCAAGGGTTTGGATGGATCTTATCCACAGCTATAGCCAACAGTATAGAAATGTGTCAGTTGACCTAGTCAGGACCCAGAAGTTTCTCAGTACTAGGAACAGTCAGGAAAAGCTCTCAGAGTTCAACTGAACAGAGATCAGTGTGAAGTTTTATCCCTGAATCCACCTTTCACTGGCTTCAACAGAGATGGGAGAAATGGTGGACACTTGAGACCTGCCAACCCTGTAAGAAACTGACATCCATCTTTGGTTCCACCTTCTCTCTCAGTCCCCCAACCAGCCTGTTTATTATCAACCTCACCTCGAGGTTCTCCCTGTTAAATATTTTTCAATTCCAGTCCTTCTTGTCTCCCCAGATCCATCTTCTCTAATGCCAGGATGATATTTGACACAGGCAGATCTGATTTCTTTCTTTCTTTCTTTCTTTTTTTTTTTGGTGAGGAAGATTGGCCCTGAGCTAACATCTGCCAATCCTCCTCTTTTTGCTGAGGAAGACTGGCCCTGGGCTAACACCCATGCCCATCTTCCTCCACTTTATATGGGACGCTGCCACTGCATGGCCTGACAAGCGATGCGTCGGTGTGCGCCCAGGATCCGAACCTGCGAACCCCGGGCCACCGCAGCAGAGCGCACGCACTTAACTGCTTGTGCCACCGGGCCGGCTCCCCAAATCTGATTTCTTAAAACCTTTCTTTGGCTTCTCCTTGTCAAGTGGAGACAATGGTACCGCTTTGCCGTGACACACAGACTGTCCAGGATCTGATGTTGTTCTCAGCAATGTTGTGTCTCTCGTCTCCTTACTGTCACATCACGCTGCGGCAACACTGACCTGCTTATAGGTCCACCTGCTCCGAGGTTTCCCCGCCTGTTGTTCTCATCAAGCTGCTCTGTCTGCCCGTGTCTCCCCTCTTCCTTCCTCTTCCCCCACCCTAACATGGCAAACTCTTCTTATCCTTTAAGACTTCACCTAGGCGTCATTTCTAGCAGGAAGCCCACCTGTACCTGTCCATCTGGGTTGGGGCTTCCCTTCTACCAGCCCATAATACCCTGTGTGTCTTTCCATCATTATATTTATTACATTGTATTTCGTTTATCTATTCATGTTATGTCTTCTGTAGTAGAATGTGGGACTTCTGGGGACAGAAACCATGCCTTATTTTTCTGTATTTATGGTATCTTAGCAAAGTACTTAACGTGTATTATATGCTCAGTAAATGTTTACTTGTTTAACAAGTGAATCGGGGGGACTTTGTTAATAAATAACCTGAATATATATTTATTCAACCAGTTAACTAATGTATCTACCTCAGACCTAGTTCAGCTTCACGTTTATGCCACTATATAGCTGAGTGATTTTCAGCAGATAATTTTAACTCTTTAGACTCTAGTTCTTATATCAATTAGCTTTTTTTTGTTTGTTTGTTTGTTTTGTTTTTCCCCCAAAGCCCCAGGAGATAGTTGTATGTCACAGCTGCACATCCTTCTAGTTGCTGTATGTGGGACGTGGCCTCAGCATGGCCGGAGAAGCGGTGCATTGGTGCGCACCTGGGATCTGAACCCGGGCCGCCGGTAGCGGAGCGCGCGCACTTAACCGCTAAGCCATGGGGCCGGCCCTCAATTAGCTTTTGCTATGAATCAGTTCACCCCAAAACTTGTTTGGTTGAAAACAACATTTATTTATTAGCTTGGCTGTTTGTACTGAACTCACTTGGGAAGGTCTTTTGCTGAGTGCCTTTACGTGCCTGCAGTCAGCTAGCGGATTAGCAAGACATCTGATTCACTGCCCTCCTGGGGTGGGGAGGGAGGTTGGGAGAAGTGAGCAACCCACGAATATATAACAGTTAGTGCTGCGGGCTCTCAGTTCCTCCTCATTGCTCTGTCCAGTTGGTGTTGCAGCTTTAGTAGTACATCTGAGGCGGAAATGGGAATGCCAAATAAAGAATGACGAAGTGGGGCTCTACGCCACTCTTCTGCCTTGAGGCGAGATGCTCTTTCCACACCACCATGGCTCTTGGGCAAGTATTGAGACTTTTTGTGGTTCTGCAGCCTTCATCTACAGCTTGAAACCAGGCATTCTGTAGGCTAAGCATTAAATTGGATGAATGGTTCTCAGCCTTTTATGTATTTATTTCCAAGAAGAACTTGGGTCCTTCTCTGATTGAAAAAAAAGCCCCCTTTTTAGAGAAGAGTACTTGCATGATTACGGATAGTCAATTATGCTATTTCTCAATTATGGCAAATTTTAAGGTCATAAAAACTTCTGATGTTGTTGGGTGTGAATATTGCTATTGCTTTAGCTACAAATCAAATGATTCTAATAGTTATTGAAATGGTAAGAATCCTATTGAGTATAAACTTTTACTCCTGCAGTAACTGTGTAGCACAAAGATGTTAAATTTAAAAATAGCAGTAGTTTTGGGGCCGGCCCAGTGGCGCGAGGGGTGAAGTGCGCATGCTCCACTGCAGCGGCCTAGGGTTCGCCAGTTCGGGTCCCGGGCGCGCACCGACGCACTGCTTGGCAAGCCATGCTGTGGTGGCATCCCATATAAAGCGGAGGAAGATGGGCATGGATGTTAGCCCAGGCCCAGTCTTCCTCAGCAAGTAAACAGAGGAGGATTGGCAGATGTTAGCTCAGGGCAGATCTTCCTCACACACACACAAAAAATAGCAGTAGTTTTATTATAGGCTGCTGATGGCATGCCGTACTTTCATGGAGGCATGGGAATTTGAGAAGAAAGCAAATTCTTAGTATGTGTTACGAATATTCTCTACCCCACGTCAATGACTACTTGATCATCTTGGACCAAATAACCACTTAAGTCCCTCCCATCCCTGAAATTCTATAAATGAGAATGATTATGTGAATTGATGTGCTGGTGATAATGAGTTGAGATATGAAGACAAAAGACTTTTGAAAGACTTTCGGCTCAGAAAGTCCAGCTATAAATAGCTTCATTGCTTCCAGAGCACGTTGTGGGGATTAACTAATACATGATTATAAAATACTTTGACAAATGAAGTACCTTCCTAATGTTATTAATAATATAATAATAGTGGTGCAGGATGCTTCTTTTGGCTTTCACTGTTAATTACAGTAATTAGATTTATTTTCCAGACAAGATTTTCGGCAAATTTTTATTTAAGGCTTGCTTTGTTACATCAAATCAATTTTACTTCTGCAGTGTGCCTGGTGGCAGTGGGTGCACTATATGTTAAAAGATAGTAAAAGAGTGATATGAAGGCTCATATACACTGATGCCGGGACTGGAAATTGCTATAATCTTTTGGAAAGAATGTTCATAGTATTATGCATAAGACGTTGACCCTGTATAACTAATTTAAGGACTCTATCTTAAAAGGATAGTCCTAACTACAGAAAAAGCTTTTACGAAACATTAATTATAATCATAAAAATCTGAATAAGACTTAAAACAGACTAAATAATGGAACATCCTCTTATGGTAAACCATATTCTCAGTTGGTTTAAAAAAGTATGTCATAACATGGACAAATGCTGTTTTATGATATAAAGTAAGTGACAATGCAATTCAAAAAGTATGCATGATATCATTCTACTGTATAAACACAGGCATGTGTGTGTTGCATGCATGCAGATACGCACATACGTGGTCGAAATACAGTGGAGGTGAAAGACAAAAAATACATTAAAAAATGGCCTTTTTAAATGTTGTGTTTGGGGCAGCAGAAATAAAAGTGATCATGTCTTTGTTTTCTCTTTGCATATCTTTTTGGTCATCTCCTTATGCAACCTCTATGGTGGAGAAAAAAGGTGGATGAGAAAAAATAAATACAAAATATATGTGAGCGAAGGTTTGTCTAGTGGAAAATAACACAATATGTGTCTGTGTCTCCTAGATGGAAGGATATAGAAAGAAAAGTTTGGGGAATGCCTGTAACTCCGATCCTAATTG